GAGGGTGGAGAACTGTGATTACAATTTAACAGAAGTACTTTTAAATCTGAAAGACTTACTCATAGCAATTCGATACACTTCAACGTCATCTGTCAAGGAGTAGTATTTGTTGAGCGTCTTCTTGGCAAGGCGAAGGGAGTAACGGATGGCAGGGTGAGCGTTGCTGTCCGACCTGATTGCATTGGTGAAAGTTGTATCGATGTGATCCATAGCGGGGATCACAGTAGCTAAGTTCGGGGTGCCGCGCGAGAAGTATTCGGTACCATCCTTGAGAATCTGAGGGGAAGGAATGGTCGTCGAGATTGAGTGTGGGATTGTGTGACTGTGAGACAAGCAGATGTTGAGCAGATGTAGATGCACATCATTAGGTTAGTCTTCTTATCTCATTCGTTTCGTGCATCTATCACCTTGTGCTGGATACCAAAGTCCTCTAGGATCTCACGAAAAGCGACTGCCATGTTTATCCCAGAATGTGACTGAACAATATTTTAGCGATGACGGAAATACAAATCAAGGTGTCATCTAACCACGGGAAGCTCCACAACATCAAGAACAATGCAAATCAGCTCGCCACGGACTTCAAGATGTGTGGTGACAGCGACGTAGGCATAGTGGTTAGGTGACGTCCAAGTGTCAGTAGCGAAGTTGATCCGACCTGGGTGTTCCTTTATCAAAGGTGAGTCATTTGTCGCTATCAGATAGAATTTAAAACTTACCCGAAGCATTTGGCCAATACGTGCACGCGTCCAGGCAAAAACAATTCGTACATCCCTCGATACGGTCGATGCGGACGGAATGTAATACTCCGGTCTACCTGTTTTCATTAACGAGAGGAAACCTCGATCTTCGACGATTTTGAATGGGCGAACGCTTTCCGATACCCAGCGAACAATTTCGGCCCTACAAACAATTATTAGATGGCATCCGAGAAGGTATTCAAGTGTTAACTTACTTTGTTTCGGTTTTCGTATGCTGACGATGTCTATAGCTCACTTTTCCCTTTCCCTTTCGGTCGAATGCCGCTGTGATCGTGCCAGTTGTCATCAATGGCTTAACAACACTCTCGAGA